TAGTTTGTTTTCCCCGATGCTGACTTTGAACAGGAAGCTCTCTTACATCAAGATCTTTGACGTGGGTAGTAGATACCTGGTGAACCGGGTTCAAGACCACATTCAGAGCAGGATAGTCTACTATCTCATGAACATCCATGTCACACCGAGATCAATCTACCTGAGCCGCCACGGAGAGAGCGAACTCAACCTATTAGGTCGCATTGGTGGAGATTCAGGCCTCTCACCTAGAGGACAGAAGGTGAGTACATTACACTATGGAGAAAGAGTTGAATCCTTTTATTAACATGTTTTAAAGCAATAAAAGAGGAATACAAAGCAGTATTTAACATTTACATTGTTCTCAGTATGCCAATGCCTTGGCGGCCTTCATCAAAGGTCAGAATATCAGTGACCTGAAGGTGTGGACGAGCCACATGAGGAGGACCATCCAGACCGCAGAAGCTCTGGGAGTCCAGTATGAACAGTGGAAGGCCCTCAATGAGATAGACGCTGTGAGTTTATCTTAAAACATCATCCTTATAACAATAAGGCTAATTTTATATTTTTAGATGATGTTTTCTAATGTTGTGTCAATACTTTAATGGTTGTATGCACTGGAGGTTGTGTATTTTGGGAGTTATAATACAGAGAATATTCATAATCCAAACGATCGCCTGTTCTTTTTTATTTTTTTTATTTCATCATGTTGGTTTATTTAGCAGAGACAGTGCACATTGATAAAACACTGCTGTAAATGTGCTATCTCTAATCCCTGGACAGGTGTTGCAAAGACACCCTAAAACAGATCAGAAGTTACAGAGTTATTGATATCATATATAAGCACACAGAACAAGAATAAGTTATCGTTAACATCATTCTGGACACCCTTATACTACATTTTCAGGTACTATTTAAAACATGCACCACAGAGGCTCATAATAACAATAAATTGAGGGGTGTTAATGTTAATACACTAAATAAAACAACATTGCTGCATTGTTAGACACTAACTGAAACATGCAAAGCAGAAGCACAGATATAAAAAGCATGCACAATATACATCAATCTGACAAAACCACAGTAAAAGACGTGGTGATGTTAATGTCACTTTTTCTCACTAAGGGTGTATGCGAGGAGCTAACCTACGAGGAGATTCAGGAGAATTTCCCAGAAGAGTTTGCACTGAGAGACCAGGACAAATATCGTTATCGTTACCCCAAGGGTGAGGTGAGTGCTCCCCTAAAAATACTGCAACTTTTTAAAGTATCACAGGGACTTTTTCAGGAACTCACTGTGCACACTCAGACAACTAAAGACATAGTCACACCCGTTTCAAAAACAGGCTGATCTGTTGGCCGGTGAGCGGCTCCATTGGGGGTTAAAAGAACAGCATTTTGGGAAATACACTATTTACTGAGAGACAGATCTTTTGCTTAAAGCAGCAACAAGGCAGTTTCATTCTGTGTTGATTCTGGCGGCACCTGTGGACAAAAGCGGTAGTGTTTCCTACCACCTTGTTTCATTGATCATTGAATCTGACCCAGTGGCAGGCATTAAAAATAACTACATAGAAATAGTTCCAAGTGAAAGTCTTGCATTATTTTACTCAAGTAGGTATTAGCATCAAAATATACTAAAAGCGAAATATCTCATCATGCAGATTCCCATTTTACAAGAATATATATTGTATTATTGGCTTATATTCATGTTTTATGCATTGTAAATTGCATAACTTTAATGTTGCAGCTGGTAAAGGCTAATTTTACCTTGTGTAACTACTGCTGAGTAGCTTCATATTTATTTGTTGACTATATGTTGTATCAATAATCTATAAAGTAATGAGCTGAAGATGTAAAATAAATGTAGTGGTTAATATACTTTACTTCCCACCGCTGCAAAATGAGATATACTGTGTTAATTACTGAGCTTTAGAAGTGCTGAGAGGAAGATATTTTGTTTTTTGTCTTGTCTTTTTCCATCTGTTTCGAATCTTTGTGCTAAGCTAAGTTACCCTTTGGCTGTAACTTCAGCTTGATAGCCTTGCTCAAAGGTGGAACTTTTCCCACCCAAATTCCTGCCAGACATATTCACTATAAAATAATCTGAATAAAATCAGCTAGGGTCAGGTGATAGCATTGTATGTCCTTGTCAAATGGACAGAGAAGATAAGATAGAATTAATCTTGTTGAATAATTGATGAACTCTCTTGTCCAGTCTTATGAGGACCTTGTCCATCGTCTGGAGCCAGTGATCATGGAGCTGGAGAGGCAGGAAAATGTTCTGGTTGTCTGTCACCAAGCCATAATGCGCTGCCTGCTGGCCTACTTTCTAGACAAACCTGCAGGTACAGAAATCCTACGCGGACTGGCTTCTTCTCTACTTGTCACAGTACTATTTGATGTTGTTTCAGTATCACAGACACTCCCAGTAATCTTATTTTCCTCCCTCTGAAGATGAGCTGCCTTATCTAAGATGCCCCCTTCACACAGTGCTCAAACTCACACCAGTAGCCTATGGTAAGTAGTAAGTGCTCGAGTGCATGACATTTAATCTCTTAATCTAAATATTTCCCTGACAGTCTGACTTTCTCCTCAATTGTAGGGTGTAAGGTTGAGCCATTTTTCCTCAATATTGAAGCAGTCAACACACACAGAGAGAGGCCAGTGGTAAGTTTCCACAAGCACACATTTGTCATAATAGATACTTACCTTTGCCAACTATTGGAACTGTGGTGCATTACATACGTATGATGGAAGGCAGTAATGATGTGTAATTTGTTGAAATGAATATGTATAGTGGTGAAGAATGTGAAAATACAGTATGTGGCTGAACTTCCTACAATCATATTTTTCTTATTTTAGAGGGATTAGAAACAAAAAATAAAAGTAAAAAATCACCAAATTCCTAAGCCTTTAGGCGAGACCTTAGAAAAAAAGAAGTAAAACAATCTTCCTCTTACTAATGAAAAGTTAAATGGTGCACCCTTGCTCAGTTCCACATGCTCAGAATGTTTTGCTGCTGCAGCCTCACTTGTTCTGGTACGACCAGCAGCTTATCGTGGCTAGTGTTAACAGCTAAAGTCAATTATTTTCTCTATGATATTATGTTGAGTTAATTTATCTCGTTATCTTGACCAAATAAGCTTTGTTATACCAAGATAATGAAATAATCCACCCAATAGAGGTTTCCAGTTCATGAGAAAACAATTGTGATAATGATTCTCAGGAGTGCAAAGATAGCATTGGTTCAACATAATGGACAATGATGGAGAAATGACGTGCAATGTGCCAGTTAATTATTAATGTTAATTATAGTAGCGCTAATTTAATAAATCTCAATCTTCTCTTCTATTTTGTCAGAAAATAATAAAATGAATACCTAAATTAACTGTCAGATGTACATTGTTGCTCTCAGTAATGAATCCTCCCTGACGGTCAGTGATTTTGAATCTTGCTGTAATGAATTGGCGCTATACAAATAACAGTGAACTGAACATTGAATCTTTTTGTGCAGCACTTTGGAAACCTTGTGTTTGTTAAAATCGTGCTATATAAATAAAGTGGATTGGATTGGATTGGAATGAATTCTGAGATCAGGTGTGATCAAATCATTTTCGACTTCTCCATAATGATCCTGTGATCCCAAGTAAATTTAATTTATCCCATTATCTTGAGAGAGTTAGTTTGCTACAGATAATACAGATAACCACTTTATGCTAACAGGAAATTAAGCAGTAAGCAAGTTAAACTTACGTAGACAATCTCTTTAGCTGTTTCACCACCACCTATGATTTTACTTTTGTAGCTTCTCCATTTGTTTTCCTTCAAAGGCACACTCAAAAACTGGATTTAGCATGCATGGTGAACACATTATTTAATAAAAAAACATCTGCGAATGAGTATGTGGAATGGATTTGGGACACGCAGACAGTCTCGCTCTAAACGGACTCTCAGTATTTGTCTTTCTGTCGTTGCAGAATGTGGACATCAACAGAAACCCAGAGGACGCTCTGCAGACAGTTCCTGACCACATATAAATGCTGTTTTTGTGAGAAAAGGACTACAATCATGTCAAAACTGGATGTGTTGCTACTTATTAACTTCACCTAATATTAGAGATGCACTCCAGTTAAAGGTTGATTGTGTGAAGACAGAAGACGTGGGGGGCTTTGAGGCGGAAGAAGATGAGACGGTAGAAGTGAGGCTAAGTTAGCCAGCCTGTATATTACATAAAAACATCACTACAGAAGCACACAACCTCCCCGTGCAGTGACTAAAAGCTGCAGCTGTTTTCAACATGTCTGTGAAATTCCTGTGTCTTACCTGAGTAGAGTTTGCTTTTCTCGACATTTTGAAAGTGTCACATTGTTTACAAGTTATTCAAAGATAAAAAGAAATACACTTTGTCTTGAGGCTGAGAGGAAAACACATAAAAACACGTAGGGAGGTTGTCCTTGTGACCTGGGCCTACCTGCACATGTAACTGTTGTACAGATGACATAAAGTGTTGTTGATAATCTAATTATAGAGGTGTGGATCAGCACCATGGACAGCACCCAAACAAACAAAGCATTGTGTTGTAGATTTGGGCCCCTGGCTGTAATGTTTCTAATGTAGATAAGACGCACACATTAGCCGGGTTTGAATGAAATAATGTAAATAAAGTAAAGCCTTACATGTCATTGTGCAGAAAATAAACTCAGAAGTCAGAAGACATACTGGTGTTTGCTTGTCATGTTGTTTACTCTCCCACAGAGAAGCTAAATATTGAAGAAGAAAAAAAGATCCCCTACAGACCAACTTACTGTTCCCTCTCAGACTATAATGGGGCTTTGTGAAAGAGCACTCACGGGAAATGCAAACTCACATTGGGAGTAATTTAAGGAATAAAAGTCACACTGGAGAAGAGAGGATAGGAGTGTGGAGAGAGAGAGGAGGAGGAGGAGGAGGTGGTGTTTTGGTAGGTGTGTGTGTGTGGGGGGGGGTTTCCCTAAATAGCCGAGCAGGGGTTAATAATCCCTCATTTCTCGTGCACCTCGGTGGCAGCAGTCCGCGAAATTTCCAGTATGCATGAACACAAGCTGGGAGCTGCTTTCTTCAAACACAGCGGGACTCACGCAACTGTCTGACTGAACTTCACGCTCTTCTCACCTGACGGATGTTTAACTCTTATCAGAACATACATTTATATAGTAATATATATACACCGGTGTATGTCATTAACACTGCAGTGGAGACGTTTAAACTCAGCTGAGGTGAGGGAGGGGAAAGACTGCCCCTTGCAAAGAAATAACTTGTGTAAAATGTGAGGTATGTGCACAGCGTCCTCCTGTACGACCTCAGTCCCGCCGACAACGTGAGACCACTGGGGCAATTCACTTCATCTTGGAGCCTAAAACCTGAATGATCATGGACATGATGAACTTAAAGGTTCAGTGCGTTCTAGTTTTCTTCACTTTCTATGTGCACGAAGGATTGTCGAGGGATTATGAAGCAAACCTTGGAGCAAATTTTCTTTTACAGGTATATTTTCCATTTACCCTTTTTTTCAGTTTTGTGTCAAAGTCAAGTCATTGAAGGCTACAATTCATGCTACCTTCTGAAACACCCCCCTCTGTTAAACCAAGCAAGGCAAAATCTCTGTGTACTAACAAATACAGAACTTTTTGTTTAATTTTAAATTAGAAAATAGGAATAGTCACAAATATTTAGTAGAACTACCAGTCTGCAAAATGCTGTTAGTGACATACCTTGAATATTTTAAAGTCCAAGTGAAGCTTTGCAGCTCTAATACAACCAACACAGTGGCTCACTTAGGCAAAACACATCATATAGTCATGTTTTTTACATAGATTATATGATTTGTATGTCTCCCTATAAAGGGTTTCCACTCTTAAAAGTTATTTGTTTATGTTAAACCCCCAGGATATGTGGTAATGTATTGACACAGCTATGACTTGTGTGTGCAAAATTAACATTTGAGAGCAAACCGTGCAAACCCTCACTGGCCCTGTGTACAGTGAAAGCATTTATTTCCAGTTCCACTTCCCCTCCATTCATGAATGGCTTTGATTCAGACTATTTTGACACAAAATCTTTGACCCAACCCTGACATAGGCAGATTGTGGAGATTACTTCAAAAAGGAGGCATTTTGAAAGCACTGTGATACTAATAATTGATATTAGGCACCATATCATAACATCGTACCTTTAGCCTCCATCTTACAAGCACTTATCGGACAAATTACAAAACTGCTCATGCATCTTGATTGACTTGCTGCCTTGTTTCTTTTCCAGAGAGTAAAACGTCAAAGCAAACCAACGAAACCAGTGGTAAGTTGTGTTAATTGTTAGTGCTTAGTTTCCTACTAAACTCCTGTTAAACAGTTTCTATACTGTATCTATGAATTCCTTTTGCATGTGGTAGTAGAAATACGGAGCTTTACAAAAGAAATAAATAACAGCTGTGTACTTCCCGGTCTTCCCAAAGTGAACTACAGAACAAGCTCTACAGACAGGAATACAACCATCAACAAATCTCAGGGTGTCATCAGTAGCTCCACTGTGGTTTCCCCTCCGTTTGCTTTAGTGTTAACTGTGAAGCAATCCCCTGAAAACATACAGTAATTCAGTTTGTATAGCACAAACCGCGGCTCTCCTAAATACCTGTGAGCTGGAGGGCTGATGTGGCTCTTTTGCTCCTGCCTGTCGCCTCATCCTGCAGTAATGTGGCCTATGCTGACCAGATTGGTCTCAGCAGGCGCCGACGTTGCCCGAGTAAACAAGGGGAGGACAGAGACACCATGCAGGGAACCGCTTTGTGTTGTTGACTCGTCAGAGCGATGCAGGGCAGACCGTGATATGGGAGGAACACAGAAAAAGTTGTGTGTGAGGTTTAGGAGGGGAGGGCAGTGGGTTAAAGTAAGCATCCATGGCTGTCTGTTATAGTCAGACTTGATTGGCAGTGTCACATCAGTGTATGAATGTGGCATTAACCTCCTCTTATGATCTATTGGGATGATTCCAGTCCAGTTAGTAGATCACAATAACGTGTCTTTATCTTCCAATGTGATAACAATCTCCTTTGAAACTTGAACTTCAGTTCTTTCTCCTTCAACCTCTTAAGTGATTTATATCTGTATTTGTGCTGTCACTAGCTGAAGGTGACAGACTACCACGTGAAGTGTTCAGTGGTGTCCCGCTATGCTGTTACCACGGTCCAGAGTTCAGTATGGAACCAGCTGGCCATCACCAAGGAGGCTGCCTTTGAGGTGGACCTGCCCTCCTCTGCTTTCATCTCCAACTTCACCATGTAAGTCAGTCCTACATTGTCTTTCACCGTCTCTGTATTATCTGCAGTATACAGCGTTTTCACATAATCACTACTTATTGCATTTGTTTATTAGTATATCTGAGTGTCTGCAATTTCCTTTACTTCTAATCTCTAACATCACTATGAAAGTCAGGAAATTAAACCAATCATCTTCAACAAGTGGGGGCTTTTTTTCATTACACTCACTGAGTCGAAAGTATTGAAACTTGCATGGAAATATTATTTCTTGCCTGAAGAAATAATATTTCCCTGGTATATGGCTAGAAATTGAAATAAATAAAAGTAATGTTCTCACTCATGGGCAGAATCCAGAAATAAAACTTTGGAAGGAATTATGTAAGGAGCTCAAATTCCAGGACGGAGGAGAATAATAATAATTTCATTACTAAGAGGGTTGCTGACCACTCTCCTTCAAAAATGCTAAATATAATCAAAACAAATAAGTCAACATTGCAGGCCAAACACCAACCCTGGAGCTGGATTTGGGAGCGGAAGCAGGTCAGGAGGAGGGGGGACCTGAGGGCAGATGAATACCAGGCTTTGTAAATGGAAGTCAGAAAGTTAATAGAGAAAATGACAGGAGTTTGCCCAGTCCCCCTTTTCTCCCCCGCACAGTTTACTGAGGCAACCTGCCAGTTTAGATACGCTACGTACACACACGCCTACATCTACTGTATGTATGCGTGCCTACATGGAGGTGGATGTAGACTTAGATTTTTTAAGTATGTGTGAGCCTGGAACTTTTTACAACCGTTATCCTTCACATTGTTTTTACACTTCTGTCTTTCACAGAGACAGACACGTACGTATGTTCACACGTACGCTCAGGACCTATACGGCCGTCTGCAGAGCACCAAATACCCAGAGGAAAAAAAAGCTGTGGCAAATGTGTTGCGTTACTTCTTTGGCATTTCTGTGTCTGAAACTAAGAACTCTGTGTTCTGTGTGCAGGTCACTGATGTACAGCCATTCCTGAACCCCCTCAGCCAACCACACATATAAATACAAGTGCCTCCATTTTCCACTCTGCTCTCTCATGCCATTCTGCTCTGTTTCTCAAACAAGACCCGCTTCAAGCCTGTGGGTTTATTTTAGTTAGCCCTTGATGTTTTTTCTCTTTGGATATATTTGTTCAAAGGACTTGACCTTAATTTAGCACCTTGTCACGTGACATCAGTGGTCACCAAACTCTAGGAAGTGCACTGTGTGAATTGGATCCCACTTTTGAGCAGTGGTTTTGGTGGGATTTTGGTGGGTGTAGCACATGGCGGCACTCCCTCGGAGCGTCATCGGCCTGCAAGATCTCTCTTCATTAATGCTGTTTTCAGAGGGAAATTACTCTTTTCCACACACCCTGTTTATGACCCCACCTCCTCTTCACATGGTATGAACTCCATGCGTAAACAAGCATGATGCATGTTTGTGGAGCAGCTTTGTGATCGTTCTGGAAATACAAGGAGCACAATCAAGTAAATCATACGCAGCAACTTAATGTGGGGCAGGCGTGTTTCTGAAATATAATCTGGCTACTGTAAGTCACACAGAGAGCTATTTCTTCCTCTTTTCTCTATCCCATCAGCACCTCCAATGGCAAGGTGTATGTGGCCCAGGTGAAGGAAAGAGCTGCTGCCAGGAAAATTTACGATGCTGCTAAGAAGCAAGGAAAAACAGCGGGACTTGTTGCTACAAAGTCAGTCCCAGGCAAAAAGTTTTCTTCCATAATATAAAATGTAATGTGATTTCCTAAAGAATCTGTTTCATTTACAATGTCATGCTGCATGTTTTCAAGCACCGTTTTCAAGAGGAGACTGAAATCCAATCCAATATTGTGAGTTTGTCCTTCTCTTTTGCTCTGCGGCGTTCCAGAGAGAGGGAGATTGAGAAGTTCCGTGTTGCAGTGAGTGTGCCGTCAGGAGCTCGGATGTTCTTCTCCCTGTCCTACGAGGAGCTGTTACCTCGTCGACTCGGCCGCTATGAGCTCAGTCTGGGTCTGAGGCCGGGACAGCCTGTTCAGAACCTTACCTTAGATGTCAGTATAACGGAGCGGACGGGCATCAGTTTCATCAAAGTCCTTCCTCTCAAGACAAGCCGACTGCTCTCCAACACGGCTCAAGGTAAAATCTGACAGTTATTACCAGTCAAGATATATTTGAGATGGTTAGTTAGGAAAAAAAGAAGCCTTGAATGCTCTTACGCTGTTGTAAAGTACAGGTGCACGGCATCATACCCATCATCAGGTGTTTAGAGCCGTAAATGTAAAAACTTTAAGGAAGACTTCATGTTTGAATAAATGACTGAAGAATGAATCATAATTAGTCCACTGACATTTTGGGAAATAAGTATATTCTCTTTTTAATGAGTGTTAGATGAGAAGATCAATACCACTCAGAAAAGGGCTACGGCCAGCAGCTGTGTTATCAATCTTCTCATTTAACTCAAATAAGAGTATTTCCCAAAATGTTGCACTATGCCTTTAACGGAAAATGTTGTAGCTCATTATTTTAACAATTATTTTTTACTACTACATGGATTTAATCATATCCTACCTTCCTACAGGTGATGCAGACGCCCCAGCCTCCACTCATGTTGAGCGAAGCGCTAGCTGTGCTCGAGTTCACTACAGTCCCTCTCTACAGCAGCAGAACAGCATCTCCTCCAAAGGTCTTAACGCAGACTTCATCATTCAGTATGATGTGGACCTCAGAGACCTCATGGGTGAAATCCAGGTCAGGAGCTTCTTTTCATTTCTGGCTTATCAGATACACGGGTGTGCATGTTTGTCACAATATAAATGTGTCTTTGGTACAAGTAAAGGTCGTCTTCTCATCCATTATTTTGTATTTTCACCCTCTCTCAGGTGTATGATGGGTACTTTGTGCATTACTTTGCACCGAGAGGGCTTCCAGTGGTTCCTAAGGATGTTATATTTGTCATTGATGTCAGTGGCTCAATGATAGGGACTAAGATAAAACAGGTAAAGTGGACAAACCTCATAGACTCTTTATGGCTAGACCTACAGTTCTAAGATGGAAAAACTTGCTAAAATATAATAATATTCTACGAAATGTGAAATTTCTGTCAATAATTCTAAGAATTTCTGTCAGTAGACCAAGCAGGCCATGAGCACCATTCTCGGGGACCTTAGAGAGGGAGACCACTTCAATATCATCACCTTCTCAGACAAGGTTCACACTTGGAAGAAAGGACGAACAGTGCGGGCAACTCGGCAGAATGTACGAGACGCCAAAGACTTTGTGAAGAGGATTATTGCAGAAGGATGTGAGTTGAAATGTGATGTTATTTGAGCTGTGGCATTGCAGTCAAAGAGGATCATTATATCCTTTGTTTCTTCCCTCAACACTTATTGTCCCCTTTGTTTCACTCTTTTGTATCAGGGACAAATATCAATGCAGCTCTGCTTTCAGCTGCCCAGCTTGTCAACCCTCCATCCTCTTCCAACCAGCTCTCATTCCGTCGTGTTCCTCTGGTAATTTTCCTTACCGATGGGGAGGCAACCATTGGAGTAACAGCTGGTGACACCATCCTTAGCAATGCCAAGAAGGCTTTGGGCTCTGCCTCTCTGTTTGGCCTTGCCTTTGGTGATGATGCAGACTTCCTCCTTCTCAAACGCCTGGCTCTGGATAACCGAGGCGTGGCTCGAATGGTGTATGAGGACGCAGACGCTGCGCTGCAGCTGAAGGGCTTCTATGATGAAGTAGCCAGCCCTTTGCTATCAGACATCCAGCTGTCATACCTGGATGATCAGGCGTTTGACATCACCCGCTCCCTGTTTCCAAACTACTTCCAAGGCTCTGAGTTGGTGGTGACTGGGAGGGTCAAACCAGGGCTAAAAGATTTAAAGGTGTCAGTGTCCGCCACTGATACAAAACAACGTGTCAAGCTGGAAAACGATGTGTTTGTTTCCAGTGCAAAGGGGAATGCCAGTGCAGAGTCACCAAACTGTTCAGCAGGCCTCGAAGGAATCTCCAGCTTTGTGCACCGTCTCTGGGCGTATTTCACCATCAAAGAGCTGCTACTGGCCAAACTAAATGCTACTGACCCTGCAACTCAAAGGTTACTGGCAGAAAAGGCCACAAATCTATCCCTCAAATATAACTTTGTAACACCAGTCACTTCTTTAGTTGTTGTAAAGCCAGACGCAGATGAACCAGCTCAAACTCCAACCACTGCAAAACCCACCACTGCAGCCACAACAACCACGACTGCGACGACTACTGCTACCACCAAAATATCAGCTGCTGGTGCTGCAAAGAAGCCCAGTTCACCTTCAAATCCGAAGCCTAACAAAACAAAACCAGACCCTCCTCAGCCACCTCCAAATACACCACAAACTAAAAAAAACCCAACTTCCACAGCAAAAACTGTGGTTTCACCGTCCAAGAAAAGCACAACAACCTCAAGTCCCAGCTCTGTCAAAACTGCCCCAGCACCATTCTCTGGAAAAAAGCCCACTCCTTCCCAAAATGAATCCAAAACTGCCTCTCCTCCTCCTGCTGCTAAGGTACCCACATCTCTGCTAAATGCTCTAAAAACAGCATCACCCCCTGCACCTGGAAAAGTCTCCACCCCCCAGCCGAACGCCTTAAAAACAACCACTCCATCAACAACCACCACAATGTTAACATTCACCACCAGTACCACACCTCCCCTGAGTCCAGTTAGAACTGGCCCCGCACCTCTGCCAGGAAGACCCCTTTCCCCACAGCCCAGTACAGTGAAGACAGCCCTCCCTCCTGTCAAAGTGCCTGTGCCCTCCACGGAGGCAGAAAACAGCACCACATCTGCTCCAGATATTCCTCAGCCTGAAATCACCACCGCTCCACCCTTGCTGCTGTCTCCGCTCACCTCTCCCACCCCAGCCCCGGCTCCGGCTCTGGAAGACAACAACACAAACTCAGAGACAGACCTGAGCATCGCCACCTTCGTGTCGGCTACCTTTGCTCCTATGCCCGGTGTAACAGATGGGCCACGACTGTGGGAAGCAGCAGGTCTTCTGGGTAGGTTGTACACTCTGTTCATCGTGTCTAATCATAGCATTTCTGTTCCCTGGGATGTATTCCTAATTGAATGTTCTTTATCTCTCCACTAGATGTCTCTACTTTCATTCAGAGGAAAGGTGAAACTGAATTTTCCCTTTATATTGCAGTGACAGATCAATTTAATTACATTCTATCTGGTTAAAATGGATGACAGCTGTGTAATTATGATATACAATGATAATGAGCTACATAACAGCATTGGAGCTAAATATAAATGTATCTTGTGTTTTATCTCTTATAGATATTGACCTTGTGAAAGGTGAGTCTCACTAATAATGCTTCTTGTCCTGTTGTTCCCTGCAAATTCAAAATTCCTTGGTGAGCAGCAGATTGTGTCCTGAGCTCATTGCTTGCTTCCATTCCCCAGACTATGATGCAACCTATGACTATGACTACGATCTCAGCTATGAAGCCTGTAAGTTTCAAATGCTCATTAGAAGAAATTTTCAAATGTTGTTGCTTTTCTTTAAAGTTTCATGTCAAATATGTTTCCTGACGTATTTTTAGGGGATGATACTGCAGACACGGGATCATTTGGTGAGTTTTTAGTGGGTCTTATTTACAGCCTGACTTAGATCATATGTTGTTTATTGTAGAGACACTGCTTGCAATTCCTGTGTAGTCCTGTGATTGGTTTCAGTGATTGGGAGTGAGGGGGACTGTCCTTTAGTTGAATGTCTTGTGCTTTTAGAACCTCAGTCCAGATTGAGCACCGTCCGGGTCTTCTCCTCATCAGGTCAAGAACCTACATTTTATTTATTTTTTGTCTATTTTAATGACACCGGCATAGTCATCTGAATATCTCAAGTACTAATGTTGTATTAATGCTTGATGTTGTCTGTTGTAGTTGATGGAGATCCTCATTTTGTGGTCCAGCTGCCAAAGGTGCATCAAAACTTGTGTTTCACAGTAGACGGCAGGGCTAATGATGTTCTCAGACTGTTAGAGGACCCAGAGAGAGGTATGCTTGGAAATAAGATGTGTAGATATACACTCAATAAGAGCAAGTAATATATGTCACTACACAGCTAGCGTTGACTTTTTAGGTGTATTATTAAACGTGCGTTCACTTCCTCCTCAAGGGATCATTGTCGATGGCCACCTAATGGGGGCCCCCTCCAAGCACGGTGTAGAAGACCGACCCCGAACCTACTTCGACCAGCTCACCATTTCCTCGGCCACAGGTGGCTCTGGTGACATCACGATCACCCTCTCACTGGACGCCGTAGTGGTGGAAGGGGAAGGGCGGGATATCCTTCCCATCAATCAGCAGGGGTCTGTGAAGAGGCAGGGTGTGATGGTCTCTGTGGACAACCATCAGAGCTGCTGGGTGGAGCTGGCCAAGGATGTACGGTTCCTGGTCCTCTTCCACCACTATAAACACCCCAGCTACCTACAGATGGCTCACCTGGGCTTTTACATCACAGATGGACGGGGATTGTCTGCTTCAACCCAAGGCCTGCTGGGTATGTACAGCTTCACTATCAGCTCTCACTGATGCCACTCACTGTGCTGCAATGGTGGAATCACATCCTTTAAAACTTTAAATAATTTAATATTAATGCCTCTATATGATTCATACAAACAAACATCAGCAAGAAGTTTGGTTATCTTCTTTCTGGGCCGCCAGTATCAACACAAAATGTCGGGGCTTTAAGTAAAACTACCAATTCCACAATGTAAAATTACTCTGTTAGTAGCAGTACTAAGTACTGTGGTCATAAGATGAAGGACCAGTGTGCAGGATTTAGTGGCATCTAGCTATGAGATTCCAGATTGCCCACTGAAACTCCTTGACTAAACCGAGAATCAATCAAGAAAAAAACACTGCTGGCCACAAAACAACTTGATTTGTTCATTCTGGGCTACTGTAGAAACATGGCGGTACAACATGACACACTATGTAGAAGAGGTAACAAAAACACAGCATTTCTTATTTTCAGGTGATTATACACTAATGAAAGTATACCTATTAATACTATACTTAATTTCTGCCAATAGATTCTCTTAACTATTACAGTAAAGTTGGTTGAGTGGTGAAAGGAAGAGATCTTTAAACTGTTCAGCAGCAATAAGTTCTTTATTTTCTTTTTTCTAGAAAACAGTGGATTTATAGTGCAGATTTAAAAAAACAACAACAAAACTAAATTAAAATGAAAAATAACTGGGGCAAAAAACTTATCTAAGAGAAGAAATTGGGATTTATCCATTACCCAATAAATAACCTTCATAAGCTAATGGTTAATAATTACATTGTGTGTGTGATAAATAATTAAAAGAATAAAAATGATGTCTAAAATCAGCATATATTCCAAGAATCTCCCAAACCTCCCCCTCATCCATACCACACTTTGCACATTCCCCGGGAACTTTACCATAAAAAGAGTCCAAATGGGCGGGAACTGGTTTGGCAGTTCCTGGGTCCAAACCAGAGGATGGCCAAGTGCAGTCTAGAGGAGAGGCAAGAAACACAAAAATGAATCATATGAAGACGTTAGAGAGCCAACATTTTTCAGGCTTTTCTTCAATATATCAATGCACAATATAACACTATTACACTGAACAGGTTTCACCTCCTGATCTGTACTAATTACCAAACAACCCAGACACCCGCTGGCTAGATGGTATGTAAAAGGGACAGAGGTGGACGAGCACTATATATAGTGTCTTATTTGAGTTAGAGGTTATGGGGCATCCTTGGGACAGATACAAAAAATAGTTATGTTATGTATTTTTTACAGCTTTCTCATATTCTTGCTTTTTATGTAAAATATTCAATACTTTTACCTCTTTAGGCCTTGAGCCGTTATTTAAATGAATCAACTCAGACTGAACACAAGACAAAACAGTTGGGAATCACTGATTTAAACTTAAACATGTTGTATTTTAAAAGTTTGTTGTAGGTTTTATTATGTAACAGAACAAAACGCTAACTTAAAAGTAGTAACTATAGCATTCAGTAAAAGTTAGAAATACAGCATAAGTACCTGTGTTTTATACTTTTGCACTTAGTTACTTTCCACCTTCCTTTGTCTGTCTACAGGCCAGTTTCAGCACGCTGACATCAGTGTAACCGCAGTGAAGGATTATCTGGATGGAGGTGCTCACAGGGAGTCAATTTCAGCCAGGGGGATCCTGAGGTGGGGATCAGAGCACATGCCAGTCACCTTGCAAGACAAGACTCTGAAAGACACTGTGCGGAAACGCCACACAGGCAAGTGCTGGGTGGTGCCCAAGGCAGAGATAGAGAGACTACTGGGTCATCCATACGAGAGTTACGTGGTGGATCATGTGTAATTCTAGCCGAGTCAGCTCCACCTTGTTCCCTCTCTGCTGTACAGCTCAGTTCACAGCAGTTATGATGGTGTGGTTATTGGACAAAGGATGAGCAAGAACTGGGACTCCGTCAGGCTATAATGACATGTTGCCAGTCTCTGAATGAGACTGTAATATTCTGTAAGGAGCAGTAAAACACAGGTGTGGTTACATAAGAGGGAAGTGACAGATTTAGAGACTACAGTGAATAGGAAAGCTGCATGTAAAGGAGTAATGAGGACGCACAAGTCGACAAATATAATGACGGACTGAATGACGCTGCTGTTCTCTCCATCACTGAATTCGAATTGCATCCAAGCTCTGTGTTCTGTGAGAGACACAATGTTCTCCTGTTCGCATGGCAACCGCAAAATGTCCATTTGTGCTGCAGCAGTTTGCTCCAAAATGTTGTGCACACTAACCCTGTTCCCAACTTCAAAGATATTTATCAGATTATTCTTAGATTTCATCCTGGAGTGATTATTAGGCAACGCCAGATTCTTCTACTTCTGAATCATCTGTAATTATTAAAACTGTATCATTCTGTAAGTTGTATTTTTTTAGTACGAGTGTATATAAAATATTATTGTGTGTATGTATAGATAATCTTCCCACGTCAAGTTATGCATCTTCAAAAAGAAAAACAACGAAATCAGGGTTTCCAGGTTTGCCATGTGCTTTTTATTTTTCTATCATTTCATCCATAGTTTAATTCATTTTATTTGTTACACAAGACATTAGGCATTGTTCACATACTAGTGATCAAACAAGGACAGTAAGTTTTCTACTACTCAGCCTGAACTATTTCTTTTGTCAATTTCAAGGGATATTGTCAATAGTGGTTTCCAAAGGCCAAACTGGATGGAAATTAAAACAGTACAACCACACATGAGGCTTTTGTTTTCAATAAATAAAAAAAGAGATGACAGTTTCTAATGCTGAGGAAGGGCAGGGGAGGGAGGGCTTCAAATATATCTATGTTCAAAGAGTAAACAGTTTTCCAGTTTTTGTCAGGTAACATATTTCCAGGATGAAGACCACACACAATGTTGAATGATGCACAGTGTGACAACGGTTGTGAACACACAGCTGTATAGATTTTGATTTCAGCTCCATGACTGACTGTTGCTGTTATCCTTCCATTAAAACCTGTTTCTTAGGAATGCTAATAATCATATTAAATCATGATGCAGCACTGGAATGATCATAACACATGACACAGCAAATAACAAACAAAAACAAATAATTTTCGGTGTGCGTCAAAATCCGTTTTATCATCAGAAACATAAACTAATAGCATAGCATATTCAGCATTTGACATAAACCTTTCCACAATACGTCAGTGAAATTCAAATAAATAGAGCATAACAATAAGACACGTCAACACCCCAAACACGCCATGACTTTGTTTAGAGTTGTTAAGGGATTTGTCGTGGTGGAGAAAGTGAAATTGAACTGCTTTAGTTCAGAAAACTATTAGAGCGTCTCATCTGTTTGTTGTTGATGTACAAGCCAAGCCACAGATCAATCTGGCTGTGAGTGAGCGTGCACTGCAGGGATATGAGGAACTGCCTCGGTTCAGGTGTACAGTAACAGCCCTGATGTGGTAGAATATCCCTTCTATAGTATTCAGTCTGATCTGCAGAGCGACGTACACTACCAAACACTGTCAGCGAGTTGTGCCAATAACAGTGACACCATTTTTGGCTGACCTGCCACAACAGTTAGTTAAAACAAAGCAGTCCATTTTTTGAAAGGGCTCAGAGGTTTGAATAAGACCCCAAATTAAGGCTAAAACCAAATAAAAGCGTTTTGGTTCATTCTTGTGGGGCGGCACCTGTAAATGTGGCTTCATACCTTTCGCTATGCTACAAAGTCATTAAAGTTATGGGAGTATCCAGCTTTTCCCTCTATTAACAACTATAATTTTTCCATAAGATTTAGTCCCTAGGGGAGTGACTTATCTAAATGACATACACAAGGGTTGAAACAACCAAGACACGATCTGGTGCTTTCACTATGAGCCGAAATTTCAGTCTTCGCCCTCTTCACTTAAAAGTGAAACCTTCCAAACGTCGAATCCAAAACATTCCCCACATACATTCTTCTACCCCATGGCCCACCTCCTCGCATCTTAACAAGTACAATTTGCCATAATCCGTTTGTTTTCACCACCAGATCTTCCAGAATACTTCATAGAAAGCCTCGCTTAACACTTCAAACATCCTCTCCATGCCTCTTTCGCTCCTGACATTCCCTTTTTTTTAAATGTTCAACTTGAAGACCACAGTTTCAACCTCAGCTCTGTAAACTTCATAACTTCAGCCAGTGAAATGTGCACCAAATATATAGAAATAAAACTCTTTAATAATTTAAAATGTTAGAAAGTAAACTATTCAAATTCAAAATTGACATCACACAACAGAGATGAACAAAGGAACAGTTTTCTGGGGGGGGGGGCGGGGGGTGTGTGGGTGTGACAGTTAATAGCCACTGGTTAGCTTGCCTGCTAGCACAGGGAACACAACAGCATTGCAAAGTGAGCACTATCAGTTGACAGAACAGCCCATTTATATGTAATTTTTCATCACATTTTTTTTTTGCCTGACCAACAGATTTTGCCAAAAGGAGCGGCGTCTTTTGAAGTAACATAGGTAAAAGACCAAGTAAGAGAAAAGTGAAAGCAGGGTTGACAGGAGCGATACGTGGAATGGTCCAGCCTTCATACAGCAGTGTCATTTGAGTCTATGTACAATACTACTGTGTGTAAAAGATGCATGCATGTCAACTGGAGGTGACCCTTCCAGAGGATTCTACACTAAGCCATTACAGATCTCTCATGTCAGAGCTCGCAGTCTGGACCTCTCAATGCCATCAATCCTCCCTCCACCCAACCTCTGATATGAGGAGAAAGACGTTACAGAAAGAATGAAATGCTTTGAAAATCGCCAACAACAAGTAATAAATTCACCTCTAATGATAATAGTTAAGACATGATTATACTGTAAATTCTACAATGGAATGAAAGACCATATCAACCCTGCTTTTCGGTGACAGAGAGAAGGAGTGTGAGTATTTTGAACAGTGTGTATGTGTGTGTTTGTGAGCATTTATGTGTTTTGAACATGTGTCAAGAGAGAGAGGGAAGTAAGGAAAAGGAGGCAAACAGCTGAGGGCAGGCAGAGCCCAGAAGCACACCCTTCTCCGCCACGCTCACACCTCCCGCCCGTTTGTTTTTAAAGGACTGCTCAGGCAGACCCCAGCCCTCTACCGCAGGCTCTGCCACCTCTTTTGCCCCTTTTCGCCCCGCCTCCTCCCCCAGCCCCGCCCTCTCTCGGAAGCCCATCTACCGCTCACTGCTCATCCTCCCCAAACACATCGTTCTGTTTGCGCTTCATGTTCTCAAAGTCAAAGTCGCTCCCGGTCATACGTTTGTAGATGTCCTTGATGTCGTTGCAAGTGGTCTCGAAGTGAGTGGTGGCATCATAGGACCTTGAGGCAAACACCTGGGGAAGATAGAATAACAGAGACTGAGAATCTGAGGCCAAGTTAGCAGCTCTGAGAGGCTGTACTGTAGTAACAGCATGCTAATATGCTCACAGTGACAAGACCAAAGTGCTGGGCAATTCAAAATTTTGACCAGATGATGGCGCTAAAGGAAAAGTCAGGGGATTACTAAAGTCCTTAGAATTTATCCTCTAGGGATCTTGAATATCTGCAGCAAATTTCATGGCAATGCATATGGTAGTGTGTTTTTTATAAATTGAGATCGTAAAAATATCACAGTATCGTAATATATCACAGTATATTAACTGTAACCCCTGTTTTGAGCATCATATAAATTTAGTTTTTCTCAAGAAGTAGCTCTTACCTGGCTCTCAGTGCCGTCATCTGTGGGCTCATAAAGGTCACTAATAGCCACAAACCTGTCAAAAAAAAACAAAAAAACAACTCCATTAACTAAACCTGGTTATGAATCCTATGTTTCCATCGTGTTATCATCGACTTTATTTTTATGGCGTGCTTGTTTGTGAAACCATGAATGCATGAAAACATGTTGAAATGCTGACTTTTGGTCGATGGGCTCCAGCAGCTCCAGGGCCGGCTCTATCTCAGCCTCGGGCTCGCTGGTTTCCACTGTGGTGCTGACGATGGCAATGTACTTCCCCTGGGCTGCCACATTGTGAGCATAGGAGATCATGCACACATAGATGTCTGGAGAATTGACAAAAGGGTTAAAAAAAGAGGAGAAAGTCAAATCAGGGTTATCAAAAACCTGCATTCACTGATTATTTGTCCACTTTGGAGAAGTGGAAACAAGCTTTTAACACAGCACTAAGCAAACAGTTGCTTATTTACACACCCAGCAGATAAGTAACAAAAGTAGCATCGATTTAGTGTTTGTTTATAATAAGTAAGTAATAAGTCCAATATTCACTCTCCTTTTAGGTCTGGTTTGGTCTCTACCGACTTTTGAGATAAATATCTGACTCTTTAGCTGTAAATGTACCATGTCATTTGGTGCTGGGCAGGAAGCATACAGCAGGCTTTTAGAGGTTTTTCACTGAAAGCAGCCAGTTGTGTCTAAAAAGAAGCGGATGAGAGCCGTGAAAGTGAACCAGAACAGTAAAGCTGTGGGTGGGAAAACCAAAAAGATAAAAAAAAAAAGGTAAAGATAAAAAACCACTCTGCTAAGTCCGGAGGGTTTGTTATATTATGAGCAGGGTGCAAAGTACAGGAAAGCCAGGGGGAAAACATGATATGAGAAAATTGAGAAAATATATTAACAATATGCTATTTTTATTTCTATTTTTCTAAATCTTCATCATCACTGATTAAGCATACAATCAGGGCATTATTGATGTATGATTCATGCATGACGGTGATTCATCAAAAACACCACCATCCATGCTATTCTTGCAATCACTATTGAAGTGTGGTGGTGCAATCATCCTTGACTTCACTCACTTTAACCCGGATCAGAAAAAAAAACAAAACGTCCATAGTCTGTCTCAGTAGGCATGTGATCCATCATTAATATAAGAACATTGATTATCACGGCTTTAAGAGTTAAGGCAAATGCTGGTGTCTCTATATATAACATGACTTTTTAGTGTTTGAGGATAATGAGCTATTTTGCGAAGGAAAAAAAGGGTCAAATTTACAAATATGCATCACTGCAACTCTGTCAAACTGCGCTCTAGCGTTTAGCGGATTTGTTAAACAGTGACAATGATCCTCACCTGAATTGCGGTTAACCTGATTCTGAGGAATGATGATCTGGCAGGAGTTGGAGTCATTGGTGTTTTTGATGGGGTGGCTGAGGATGCAGATCACACGGATCACCTGACCGGCCTTGCGGACGCGGTCCGGGATGTAGCTGGGGTCGCAGATGAGCTGCTTACAACGAGCCACCTGCCGCAGCAAGGACACAGAAATTTACATGCAGCATTTTAAAAAAAACTACTACTTTCCTCAATTTGCATTATCACTGACAATAAATCAGCATGGCCGTACCTCGCCCTCGGACTTCACTCCAACCACGTGGCCACCTTCCATCACTATCTCATCCACTGGTTTGTTCAGCATGTAGGTGCCTCCATAGATTGCACTCAATCTAAAATGACATGTGAATAAGAACTATTAAATCATGGACTGGGTTTGTACTTCTGTGTTTATTATTAATGAGCTGTAATTTATCAAGCAATAGAGCACAATGGGTATAAATGTATTAAAACACCTGGCAAATCCCTGCGGCAGCTCTCCCAGACCGTACAGGGGGTAGAGGTAGGGGCTCTTTCCATACCGGGCCAGAGATTCACTGTACAGCTTGATACGATTGACCGTCTCCAAACAGGGGACATCGAGATAGCTGGAGGAAAACAAC